CGTGAAATATGCAGAAACATCATTTTCTAAGGCTTTAATGTTATGCGCATGCATTTAGATTTCGAACTATTTCTTAATAATTTGCTGTACATAGTAAATTATGGATATCATCTTTATTACTTTAAAACAAAAATTCAACAATAGCGAAGCATTTCATTATAAATTTAACATATTTTTACTGGAAAATACATGCACGGAACAGCTTAGAAACACGTACATGTCACTAACGTAATGCAATGTTTTGAAGTCACAAACATGGATGCCGCTTGTTCGGCGGAGGTTTCAATTCCCGATAGTGGAGGAAACGGCGAATCCTCCCTCCTTCTATTCTAACCTCCTTGCTTTGAACCCAGAGTCACGTGATCGCACATCTGGTCGAACGAAGTCTCTCCCTTTTTCTTCTGCCGCCCCCACTTGCCGAAAAGAATCCAGAAGAGAATGTCCGAGAACCGGGGGAATGAGTCATAACTCGCAATAAGGAAAGAACAAAAAAGAAGTTTTTTCCCCCTTTTCACGCATTATCACTGCCTTTGGAGAAAGAAAGGAAAAGTTTTCACCACACACACTGACCTTGCGTTTTCTGCTTTCAAAGCAAACAAAATTACCCAGATCGAAATAAATAATTCATTATTATTTCTACTTTCTTTATCCCCGGAATTTCCGGGTATCGAAGTTCAAAATCCCTGAGACGGATATGCCTTTATCCATTTTTTGCAGCAATTCTACTTTTTGTTTGATGGATATCGAAACATGGTTTCGCTTTGTAGATCCTTTTGCAGCTCCAGAATTGGAAACTCTTTTTGACATAATCGAAAGTTCAAGTTTACTTTTATAAAATTGCTCTAACAGTCTGCAAAAAAAAAAAAAAAAAAAAAAAAAAAAAAAAAAAAAAATTAAATAATAAATAAATAAATAATAAATAAATAAATAAAATAAAAAAAATAAGTCGGATCCAATTAGAAGATTAAGGAACAGTGCAAACTGCAACATTAACTTAAATGCCTTAGATAATTTTAGCCTAGCTTATACCGTCCGTTATAAATTAAACGCGCATGTGGAAACACATTATGCGTTTACGCATGCGCATAAAGTTTGTAGCTTTGAGGTTCAGATTATAGATCATTCTGGATTACAGACTTTGTCCTATATTAGTCTTCTCAAAGGTGATCATTGCAGAGAAGATGAATATCGATTTAGATCATGGAGTTTTCTTATTAAAAATTTTTGGCATCTGTATATCTGAATTATATACACTGAGGAATAAAAATATTATGACTATTAACAAATTTCTCGAGGCCCGGTGGCTAGCGCATCGTGCAGCAGCACCAAAGGTCCATGGTTCGATTCCCGAGCTGGTCAAGGTTGACTCAGCCTTTCATCCCTTGATTTCCATTACTTGGGTCGATAAAATGAGTACCAAGTTTGCTTGGGGACTAAACACTGGAGGTCCTGCAAGAGACTGACCACTTGTTAAGGGCATATGCTTATGCACCTCAGGGCCCACAGTCAAGAAAGCAGATTTCGGGCATTGCAGGCCTTGGTTTATTAGGGCTGTTATGCCACTGAGTTTAGTTCAACAAATTTCTTGATGAACTCATCTGGATGACATGAAGGGCCTGTGATTAAGTGAGAATGATATTTAATCGCTGCTGGAGAAGGTAAAGAATCATTCTTGCACTTTTTGCAATTGATGAGAAAGGCTACTGATCTAAGTGAATTTGATAGAGGGCAGATTGGAATGGCCCGAAGATTTGGAATGAGATCTCTAAAACTGCATGACTGGTAGGTTGTTCACGATCTGCCCTTGTTAGTATTTATGCAAAGTGGATAAACGACAATAAAATCAGCAATAGATGCCAAGGGACTGTCCCCCTTTGATACAGAAAAATCAGTGTTGTGCAGTGGTTCAGCCGACAGCCTGATATAATTCAGGTCCAAGTGCAAGTGTTTCGGAATACACAGTTCAGTGGACACATTTGGATATGGAACTGCACAGCAGACGTCCCACTCCTGTGCCTCTGTTGACCAAGCATTACTGTCAACTACGCCTACAGTGAGCCCAGGAACATCGAGACTAGACCATGGATAAGTGGAAGACCCATCACGATTTCTAACTCATCAAGTCGATAATTGTGTCAGGGTATGCCATCTTTCAGGCAAACAATTGCTTCCTCCCTGTACAGCAGGTTATACACAGGCTGGAGGTGGCAGTATTATGCTTTGGGGGACATTTTGGTATTTATGCTTTTCTGGACATTTTCATGCATGGCTCTGGGTCCTTTAGTTGTGGTAGAACAGACGATGAAAAGTGCAGACTATCTGAACATCAGTTGCACCCTTAAATAGCATCTGTCTTCTCAACTGAAAATGGAATCTTCCAACAGGACAAAACCCCACATCACAAGGCTCCAATTGTGAAAAAATATTTAAATAAATAACTAAATATTTTTTAAACACATAAGCTAATGTTTTAAAATATGAAACAGAAGCTTTACGTATTGTTATGAATTTTGCACATGGGTAGATAATTTTAGTGACATTATATGTTGAATTGTTGTATTTTTTTGGCATAATGTAACGTTAAAAGCTGACAGAAATGATACTCTGCCAGAAAAATAAGAACACAGGGGCAAGTGTATTTAACGGAGTAAGTGGCTATCTCGCTAATTTGCCGAGTGAATAACTGTAAATGATTACTATATTAGCTGAAACCATATGCCTTCTAGTAATTTCGAGAAGGAAGTATTAGAAACATCTCGGCGACCAGGTGAAAACTACATAAGACCAGAGAGATCATCAGTCCCTGAGTAGTTGTAGTTCAGCACGGGTTTGGAGTACTGAGATCTCCGGGTTAGCTTCCTCTTTAAATGCGCTTTGTGTTTAACGTTCTAAGTAAAGTTCTTCTTTGAAGTGTAACTACTGACTGTACTTTGTGATACTGTTAACACCTGTATGAGCATTTATGGGCATGGCCTTCTGCCTCTGTGCATGAAGGTTGCTCTATCGGAGCTCTTACGGTGAGCCATGATCCTAAGTCGAATAGTGATGCTCTTCCACCGGACAAATGCTTTTTCGATTGAAGTGAACCTACAGATAATTTCTCAGACACAGATACAATAACTGCTACGGAATATGGACTTTCTGATAATGATTACAGACCAGACTTTAAAAAAAAGATAAACTTGATCAAGTACAAATTAAAATTGAAGGTAAAATCGAAGCTGCCAAAGATATGAAACTTCAGCTGGACGCTAATCGCCCTGTATCTGCACCAGATAAACATACGGAAATTATTGTAAGATAGATGCGAGAACTCAAGAAAGAATTGGAGCTACTTAAGGTTAAGCGATAATTTTTATTATTTCAGTGTGCTAACACCCACTTCTGATCCTGCTAGTAAAGCTAGTAAAGCCAGGAATACTTTAATAATTAATACTCAAAAAAGGAAACAACCTGATATTTTTGATTACTCAGATGATAACACTAATCATGATGACGGTTTCATTAAACCCTCCTGCATAGACAAATAAGGGGGAAAAAAAAAAGCTACCAAGGATGCAATTATTGCAAAAAAGTAAATTTAGCCCCTTAAATCAAGTTAACTCCGATAATAATTCAGTTACCGAAAATAAAGCAAACACTCAAACTGAATCTCTAGAGCAACAAATACCTCCATCACCAAAAGCAAAATCAATCCCACCTATAATAATAGGTAAAACAACCAGCTAACATAAAACAAAATATTTACTTAAAGCAACTTGCTAATCAATCCTCAACAAAATTCTTTAGTAAAGTCAGCGGATAATTTCTAAAAGTACTTCCAAACACCTCAGATGATGACAAAGCACTGACCAGATATCTCAAGGTAAAGTCTATTGAACATTATCTTACCAATGCACAACATAAGAAACCAATCAAAGTAGTCATCCGTGAATTACCTATAGATATGGATACCTCAGAAATAAATGAAATTTTAACAGATTTAGGCTACACTGTACATAAGGTAGTTCAAATGACACCCGCCAACTCATGCCACTATTTCAATTACAGCTTCTTTCCACACCAGATATTGAAAAGATCTATGATATCACACATTTCTCACTTTTCATCTTACAAGTACAAAAATACAAAAAACAAAAATCTCATTCCACAGTGTCATAATTGCCAAAAATGGCACCACTCCTCAGAAAACTATTTCCTTATGCCATACTGCGTGAAATGTGCAGAACACAAAACTTCACTCTATCCCCAAAAAGGATTTATCAAAAACTTATTTTGTATAAATTGCAGTAATTTTCACCTGACCTCCTACCGTGGATATTTAAAATTTTCCCAAACCCAGGACAAATAAGCCACATGCACTTAGAAAACTCTTTTCAGTACTCACAAATAAACCTCAGAAACCACTCTCAGCAGACAGACACTAATCTTAATCAACCTAACCAAATACCTAATAACCCTAACCAAAATAACATTCAAACTCCAACAAAAAACTCTACATCAAGATTTCTAGAATTTTTCCAAGTAATCAAAGAACTTGAATCTATTTTTGGCATACAACTTCCCCCCCCCCCCCAAAAAAAAACTTTATAAAACAAAATGAAACGAAAGAAATGTCAAACTATCATGGACAAAATGTACATTATTTTCTTAATATTTGAGGAATTAAACAATTCTAGCAACAAATAATTCTTAAACTACTTCCTTATTACTCTAAAATATCTCACCTACCTTAAATTAATTTCTACTACCAAATTTTTTTCTAACATTCTTAACAATGATTCTCTTACTTAATTAAACTAATTATAATTTAACAGATAAATCCCTCCCTCCCCTTTACTTTCGACTATCCTTCTAAATACTGACACAATTATACCTCAATGTGCAATCTAAATATTTTTTCCCTTCCCAAGAAAAGAACAATTTGTTTATAATATTTTTCCCCCCCCCCAAAAAAAAATTACTACTGTTTAAAATGTAAAGAAACAATTCAACAAACATTAAAATAAACAAAAAATTTATTTTACAAAATATTACAATTAAAATATTGTATGCTATATCCAAGGCATTTTACACAATTATTCTTCAGAAAAGAGCTTTTGGAAACATGAGTAATGGTTTTACAGATGTCTTGGTAGTAAACAGAGTTATATGTATCACAGCTTTGTATTTAACTAAGTGAAAAATAACTTCTCAACAACAAGTAGAGGCCTTAGATATTGTATACACAGTTTCGTCTCTGCGGAAACCCCATTCTAAAATTTGTTTAATCGAATTGGGAAATATCACCTACATATTCACATATTGAATCATATTCTATTCTTAATGCCTGGTTGCGGTCTGAAAGGAACTGAACAGTAGCAATGCATTTTGATTTGTCCTTTTTTAAGATAGAACATAACTGAAAATATAAAAAAAAGTTTAATTAAAAACAACCATTAATTAATAAATATTATTAAAATTAAAATTTATTATGAAAAATAATACAACACACTAAAAATATGTAACATATGAGAACAATCATAACATACAATTATCAATCAAACAAATTGGTAAAATCAATGATTTCACTGCCCTCAAAATACTTTCATGGGGTAAAATTTCACGTGGGGTGAAGGGGCATCAGTCATCAAACTGAAAACAAAAGGCAATTAAATTAAGGGCGAAACATTTTAATAATAATTTTATTTTATTTCAGATTCAGATGAATACAAAATTTGAAATGAAAATGGATGTTCACTAAATGCATACATAATCATGTTGTGCATTTTGGTCATTTAATAACTTGAAAACTCAGTTTTGCAGAATGCATGAAAAGTAACTTAATATCCATTCATATTTTTTTAAACTTGCAACTGCAACCTTGAAACTATCTTCATCACATTTTTTCTGCACTATTTATTTTAATGATATTTGCCCTATACTGAAATCACACAGTTGCTTACTCTTTATTTAATGGTATTCTTTTCCTTCAGATCTATTGATATATGGTAGGGACACTTCACAATAACTGGAATCACACCATTGCACACAAGCATTTTTAATTATACAAGAAATTGGTAGGCCTCGGTAGCTTAGTACTTCCTATATCTATCTGTCAAATGGCATCAGTCTAAGTATAGCAATTTATTCTTGACAGCATTCTTTCTCATAGCATCTCGTGATTCTTCGGATATGTGATGGTGAAGAACAAAAAGTGCAGGTGAAATCGGAAAGAAATTAAGGAAAACTGCATCTAAGACCACTGTTATCCTTGGAAAACTTTGCCTTGGATGCTTTTGAGTAAATTAAAAGTACAGTCAAAAGTCGTTAATCTGTACCTCAAAGCTACAAACTTTCTGCACATGCCTCAACGCATAATGCGTTCACGCATGCGAATAGGCATTTACACTTGCATGTAATACTCTTACGCATGCACATAATACGTTTACGCATGCACGTTTAATGTATAACGGATGGTATAAGCTAAGCTAAAATTATCTAATTATCTATTTCAGTTAATGCTGCAGATTGCGTTGTCCTTAATCTTCGGATTGGATCCGGCTTATTATTTTTTGCAGAATGTTAGAGCAATTTTATAAAAGTAAGCTTGAACTTTTGATTATGTCAAATAGAATTTCCGATATATATTTAATAATATGTAAAGGATCTACAAAGCGAAAGTATGTTTCGATGTCCATCAAAGAAAAAGTGGAATTGCTGGCGGGGGGGAACGTCGTGGCGCGCAACGAACTGGAAGTTGATCTGTCAGCACTATCCTTATCTTCAGGGCAGATGTTTTTATTTTATTCAGCTTATTAATTCCTTACTAAATGTAGTATTTCATCTCAATGTATTCCGTCTTTGATATGATTTAAATCAAATTCCTCATGATTATAAATATCCCGAGTACACATCAAATAGTTTTCTGGTAGCAATTTTCTAATTTCGACTATGCATAATGTATGCTTTACGCATGCGCGTGTTGAAAGAAATGTTTAATAAAGTAAACAAATAAATATTAAGCTTTTTTTTTTTGTAAATTTTGATACCCTTTAGACCATAATTGCTCTTTATTTCATAAATTACAGTTTCATATTTTTAATTTTATAATTTCTGCATGCCATCTTAAACTGATGATCTATATTCCAGAATTGCTGAAGTCCCGACAAATATGCCGACATTATGCCGGACGAGTCTGGATTAAAGACTTTTGACTGTATATGAATGATTTTGAAGAGTAAATAAAAAGTATAGCCCTGTTACGAGGCGTATTCGGAAACTAAGTACCGTTTTGAAAAAAAAAAAAAAAAAAAAAAAAGTAAAACAATTTTTTTGAATCCAATTTTTTTGAATCCAATTTTATTTTTACATGAAAATACATGTCTTGAACTATTTTTCAACATAGTTTCCACCAACGATCAAACACTTGTCATAGCGTGTGACCAGTTTTTGTGTACCATCATCAAAGAAACTTTCCGCCAGTTTCGATAACCATGACTCCACAGCATTTTTCGTGTCATCGTCAGATCCAAAGTGCTTGCCACCATGCTCGCGCTTCATGTGCAGGAACAAGTGATAGTCGGACGGCGCCAAGTCCGGGCTGTATGGCGGGTGATCGAACTGCTCCCAATGAAACTGTCGAATTAACGATTGAGTGACACCAGCAGTATGGGGCCGAGCATTGTCATGGAGCAACACAGTTCCTTTACTGAGCATTCCTCTTCGTTTGTTTTGAATGGCACGCCTTAGTTTTGTTAAAGTCTCACAATATCGTGCCGCATTAATGGTTTCACCTCTGGGAAGAAATTCAGTAAGCAAAACGCCTTTCCTATCCCAGAAGACAGTGCACATGATTTTTTTGTGATGACATTGTCACTTTGAACTTTTGTTTTTTCGGAGAATGAGTGTGTCTCCACTCCATCGATTGTTGTTTCGATTCTGGTGTGAAATGACACACCCAAGTTTCATCACCTGTCACAATTTGGTTTAAAAAGTTTTCTCTCTCATCACTGTACCGCGTGAGAAATGTCAGGGCACTACCAAGTCGCTTTGTTTTGTGAACATCAGGGAGCATTTTTGAAACCCATCGGGAACACAGTTTGCGATAATTCAAGTGGCCAGACACAATTTCGAACAAAACAGTATGTGAAATTTGTGGAAATGCCTCTGAAAGAGTTGTCATTGTGAAGCGTCTGTTCTCATGAATTGCTTCATCAACTTTTCTTACCAAATCATCGGTGACAACAGAAGGCCAACCACTCCGAGCCTCGGCATGGATATTTGTTCGACCTGCATTAAACATTCTTAAACACTTTCTCACCAATTCCATCACTTATCGCGTATTCACCGTAAACTTCCGTCACTTGACGATAAATTTCGGCCGGTTTAACATTCCTCGCGTTCAAAAATTTAATCACAGCACGAATCTCACAGTCAGCGGGAGAACTAATCGTTTTAAACATTTTGAATGTGCACAGCAAACCGAAAACACAACATAGAGCAACCAAAATAGCGACAATTGAAAGTCGGTGAACAAGAAAGACTAATGCGCATTTGCGGAACGCCTACCACAGCGCTGCGATGGCGCTAGAATGAAACGGTACTTAGTTTCCGAATACGCTACGTAGATAAGACTGCTACAACTTACAACATTCAATGGTGGACAGGAATGAGGAAAAAATTGGAAAAAGTATGATTATTAAAGAGCATCAGAAAAACCACCGACCAGATTTTTGCAGAAGCTCTGCTCAAATTATAATTGTCAGGGAAGAGAACAATAATGTAGTTCTATTTTACTCACAGAACTGTCATTCATTCATTTCCATGGGTAAAGAAAGCTCTCAAAATATAATTTAGTGAAAATAAAAAAAATAATACAAAGAAATTTAGTGGTGTAGGTAAAGTGCAAGAAAATAAGTTGAACTATTATTCTCTGGAGTTCCAGAACTGTTTCTAGTCTTCTAGTAATAGGCAAAATGCTGGGACAATGTATTGATGTTGGAGAATGCTTTGAAAGAGACTAAAATATATAAGTGTATCACATAGTACACTGCTTAAAAAGAACTCTGGTTCCTTTTTAACTAGTCCTCACAGGTATGTAACTACAGAGTGAGGCAGAAAAAGCTCCCCAATTTTGGAAGCTAATAAAATCAAAACCAAATAAAATATGAAAATTCTCCGTTTATTTTTTGAAAGAAAATATACTACTATTTTACATCAATATTTTTTTCGGGGTTGTTTTTGTTTTAAATAAAACATCTTTTTGAAGCATCTTGCAGTGGCCTCCATTTATGTACTGATTAAGTCTCTCTTCATAGTTGTCCAAGACATTTGCATCAATTTTGGGTGTAATGGCAACAGATTTCTGTTGTATTGCCTCTTTCAGAGCTGCCAAAATTGGTCAACTACTAGCAAACTTTTTTTCCGTCAAGAACAGGGGCCATGTCGATCTAGAGTGAAGTGGATGTGAAGGGCACACTGGATTGCTATCAGCAACCCACCAATGTGAATAAGCAGCTTTATAAAAGGGAGACGTTCTTTTGTTCAAGCTATGGTCTACTCTAAAATGGCATAAGTAGCAGATTGATGATATACTCTGTATTAATGTACACTGCTCAAAAAAAAAAAAAAAAAAAAAAAAAAAGTCAGTCCTATATCTCCCATTTTACTGGGACGATTGACAAAATTCAAATTGCGTTCTTCATGTCTCGAAAGCGCGACTTAGGATATATATTAGATTTATATATAGCACTATTCTAACATAGGTATTTTGACACAAAATCGGACTTTTTTTGAAACAACATACTAATTTTTTTACATATTTCGATTCTACGACTCAAATTAAGCCTAAATATGAAATTTTGTAAAATTTAGAGCGAAATTTATGGAGAAATTCACAAATTTATGTTGGCACTTTTTTTTCAGTTTGCACCAAGAATAGTTCACTTGGCGAACTTCTTAATATATGGCAACCTAGTTTCCTTTCCTGAAAGAGGAAAAAAAGTCACCATCGTTCCTTTTTTCCAAATGATAATCTTTATATTATATTTTTAAATATACTATTATTTTAAGTAACATTTTGTTTTTCGAATTTCATTTTAATTGTTTAAGTTGCATGTTTTTTTGAATAACTGTTTTAAAAATTTCTATTTACCTATTCGAACTGCGTAAATAAAGGTGCAGGGTTTATTTTTTTTCAAATAGTTTTCTTTATGTATACTTTTTGTCATAGTTATTATATTAGGTAATTTTTAAATTTTTATACTTTTATTTTAATTGTTTGTGTTGCATTGTCTCTTCAGACAATTGTTTTAAAATTTTCTATTTATTCCTTCGAATTGAGCATTTTAAATATATTTATTAATATAAATTTTCCAGAATTTGATTTTATTTATTTCAATTGCGTTTCTTTCGGAAGAATACTTTGCAACCCAAACTACGATGCGTTTGAAAACTGCATATATTAAAATAGAAAATACAGTAAAGCACAGTTAACATGCCTTTCAATGTTCTGTTCAGAAAAGATATATATAAATAAGAGAGATGTATAACTGACATTTAAACTTGGGATGACTTGCATACACTGCTTTAAACAGTTTTATCATTGTGCCCATTGCTTTACACAATTTTATCCTACATTTTGTTTCTTAAAATGTTATTCATATTTTAGTCAAATATTTTATTTTTGAAATCACAAGAATCAAATATCATAAGATTAAATGGTTTTAAATTTAAAAAAAATGCTAATACTAAATTTTACGCAAAAATTTATTTTTTCTTCTCTTTTTCTTCAGGCATTCTACTTTATTATGTTATATGTATACCATGCGTAAATGTTTCGCTTTTATGGAAAAATAAAGAATCGAAGCAAATATACTTAGTATAATGGACCAAAACTGAAAAAATTTCCCCTCCCTCCGAAAATAAAATATTGAAATTTCGACCTTGAATTTATTGGGTTATCAAAATATTTAATTTGACGTATCTTCTAAGTCCTAGTTCCGACAACAATTCCGAATTATTTAAGCTGAAGTAAAAGATTTAGTATAGATTCACTGCATGTGAATAAAGTAATCAGAGTGTAATAAAATAGATTATAGAATTTATACTTATGCAAATTTTTGTCTGACTGCCCAATATGTAATGGAAGAGAAGGTTTGTAGAGATCTGTTTTTGACATGCCTCTAAAAGTAGATGCCATATTCCTTTCGTCTCTTCAATGTCAAAAAACTTTCCTTTGAGAGGCAACTTTAGTTTTTGGGAAAGAAAAAAAAAAATCACAAGAAGACAAATTTGAAGAACATGCAGGACGACTGAGTACACATACTCATTTTCGGAACACAAGCGGTTCTCCGACTGGTTATTGAATAATGAAAAGATGCATTGTGATGCAATACAAAACATTTGGAATACGTTTTCTGGCTGAAAACGTAAGATTAAAAGTCATCTGCTTAATTAACAGCCATTTACAACTCAATCTACTTGGGAAATTGCAGAATCGTTTTGATCCTGAACTTGTAAGACAAACCTAATAACACTGGATTTAAACACTTCTTTAATCTTCCGAGAACGTTCCTTCTTTAGTTCATATTTCAAGAATATTAAGTGAATACGATTATTGCAAAAGAAACTGAATATTCATTTGCACTACGGCTTTCTTAGTTTACTAACGAGTTAACAAAACTTAAATTCTGCTTTTGTGTCTAAGAATACACAATATTTTAAATATTTACAAATAAAATATAAATTAAATTGGAGCCTCATCCAGTTGCCTAGCATTTGAAGATTGTTAAATACTAATTGTTTGTTGCGAAGTCTAACCCAGGCTGCATGGTTGGTTTTCGTTGTTTTCTAGGTTCTCTTTACAAAAGGTTCTCTATGAAAGCATCTTAATCAATAGCTCCCATGTTCTTTCTATGTTCAAATAACCAACTAACTTAGTTTAAGCGCGATTTCCAAGTGAAGTTACTAGCAAAACCCAAATACTCATTAAAAATCATGTTGCTTGCCAATCAGGAGTAACCTGAAAGATACGGCACCAATATTTGAATTGTTGTTTCGGTACGCTGTTTCTAAACTTAGATGGTCATTCCTTAATTAAATAGCCCACCAGCGGCCGAGTGGTAAAGATGCTGAACACTGGTAGTTCAGTCCGAGGTTCGAATCCCGCGAATGGGCTGGTCGCATGGGCGTTTTCGTGGTTTTCCCCATGTGTAACGTGTATGCGAGACAGTTTCCTTTAGAAAGTCCTCCACGAAGGCATCCCTCCCTTTAGGCAGATAGCACTCGTGTGCTTTGCCATAATTAAATAATCCAATCCAATCCAATCCTTAATTAAATATAATTGATTTGTAAATTCTACTAGAACTGACGGTAAGAATTGAAGTGAAAATAAATAATATGGAGTGCAATCTTGATTAATATAAAATTTAAAATATTTGCATAGAAAAATGTTTGCATTCAGACATAATTTTTTTTGAAATACTTGCAATTACTTTATAAGAAGGATTTATTAATAATCGTATTAATTACTTATTATATTACTGACGATTAGAATTCAGTTCTTGACAATTACATTGTAAATTGGAATTTTAAAGATATAATGTAAATACGCTATGCACAAAAATACATTTTAGGATAAAAAATGAGTTGATGTTTTATGTTTTAAAACTTCTTAAATTCATTTAATAAACATCGTATCCTCGTTGTTAATTGAATCCAGAATGTTGGTGTCGTTTATATAATTATTCTTACTTGTCCACAGAATCTGCTGACTTATCCAGCCATTAAGTAGCTGCAGATCATTTCTACATAAGCATTGAACTTCCATTAATTCAGGCTCTAGAGGGTTGCATGTTTATATCATAATTTGACTTTTATAAAAAATGATTATTCTAAATCTTATGTTTCTATAAAAATATGCTGTGCTTTAAAAATATGGATGATAGTATCAGCCACTTCAAAAGCAACAGTTTGTTTAGAAATAAATTATGCAGTTAATGTCATAAAATTCAAATATACATCAAACGAAAATTCGCAGTTTCAGACAATTCGATTTAAACGAAGTAAAGTAGCAGACGATAAAACGCCGAAGGTAAAAACTTATTCTTACAAAAATTTACTCTTATTTAAGAAAAAAAAAAAAAAAAAAAAAAAAAAGATAGACAGAAATTTAAAAAAAATAGCTTTTCATATAGTATTAATAAATATTTATTATGCATCATTGAGGGAAAAAATGTCATATAATTAATTCTCCGTAAAATTTTACTTGAAATTTAAGGTTAAAAATAGCTGTGGCAATTCACTGTAACAAAAATCCATAGACCACATTTGGCGTTATTATCGCTCAAAAAAAAAGATGCCAAATTTCAAAATGGTAAAATATGTAAATTCATGTATATCTTAGAAAATTTTGAATAAAAAAGTCTAATTTTTTGCAGATATGCTTAAAAATACACCTACTTTGAGATGATGGTAAAACTTTTATAGGTTATAATTCAAATTTTTTTTCGAAAAATTTAAAAAATTATTTAAAAATAGAAATTTAAAAAATAAAACACAAAAAATGGGTAAATTTTATTTGGAATGAACTTAAATTTTGAAATGTGAAAGGAAAAATAATTAAAGTTTAATAAAAAAAAGAGATACAGTCAAAAGTCGTTAATTCGGACACCCATAATCCGGACCTCAAAGCTACAAACTTTCTGCGCATGCGTCGCGTTCACGAATGCGCACAGGCGTTTTACGAGAGCGCATAAGACCCTTACAGCTGCGAATATGTTTGTGCGCATGCGCGTTTAATGTGTAACGGAGTTATATGCTAAGCTAAAGTTATCTAATTCAGTTAATGTTGCAGATTGCGTTGTTCCTTAATCTTCGAATTGGATACGGCTTATTATTTTTTGCAGACTGTTAGAGCAATTTTATAAAAGTAAGGTTGAACTTTCGATTATATCAAATAGAATTTCCGATATATATTTACTACAAAGCGAAAGTATGTTTTGAAATCCGAAATCTGTTTATCAATTTCACGCTGCTCTGCCGCAGAGGGGGGGGGCAGAAACGTCATTATTAGATTATGATAGATTAGAAAGATTATGTCAAATAGAATTTCCAATATATATTTACTAATATGTAATTTGTATCTACAAAGCGAAAGTATGTTTTGAAATCCGAAATCTGTTTATCAATTTCACACTGCGGATTGGAAGTTGATCTGTCAGCACTATCCTTATCTTCAGAGCAGATGTTTTTATTTTATTTGGTTTATAATTCCGTACTAAGTGTAGTATTTCATCTCCATATACTCCGGCTTTGATATGATTTAAATCAAGTTCCTCCTCATTATAATTCGCTTCGGATAGTGAAGAAGGTGACCCAGAGGTTATTGAAAACGAAAACATTTCGATTGACAAATTAGTCGGTATTCTCAACACAGCAACTATAGGACTTAAACAGCGGAACTTTGTAACTAAACAAGAAATTATGTCTGTTTAATAGAATTAAAGAGAAAGTATTATCACATGAAACGAAGCAACTTACATTGAAGGAAATGTTTAATAAAGTAAACAAATAAATATTAAGCTTTTTCTTTTTGTAAATTTTGATACCCTTTAGATCATAATTGTTCTTTATTTCATAAATTACGGTTTCATATTTTTAATTTTGTAATTTCTGCATGCCATCTTACCAGATTTAAACTGATGATCTATAATCCGGAAAAATCGATAATCCGGAATCGCCGAAGTCACGACGAGTCCGGATTAACGACTTTTGACTGTATTAATAAATATTTACCAAATTAAATTAACATTGAGGAGCTAAAAGTTTGAGAGCTAATATTTTAAAAACTACTCGTACGATGTTTACAAAATTTGGTATTCTGACATAATTTGAGTCGTAGAATCGAAATATGGAAAAAAATTGGTATGTTATTTCAGAAAAAGTCCGATTTTGTGTCAAAATCCTATGTTAGAATAGTGCTATATATAAATCTAATATATATCCTAAGTCGCGCTTTCGAGACATGAAGAACACAATTTGAATTTTGTGAATCACCCCAGTAGAACGGGAGATATAGCACTGTCCCCCTTTTTTTTTTTTTGGAGCAGTGTACTTCCTCCTTCCATCATAGAGTTCCTTCGGCTGCACTCCGTATTTAGTTAATTTTAGCAGAATGCAAAAGTAGTTTAGTCATGTTTAGAAAACCTACAATATTTCTTCTAAATTAACATTTAAATAAATTAATATTGTAGAAAATGTATGACTATAACTAATTTAGGTTTCAAGAGGAACTGTAAAACTATAACAGATTAAAATAATAATTTGAAGGATGAAGAATACTTACTTCACCACTGTGTTCACCTTTAACTATCATCACATAATCAGATTCGTTTCTTGGAATAACTGTTTCTAACATTGAAGGTGAAATATCTAAGGAGAGGGAGAAAACTTGAGAAAGAGACCAATTTTAACGAATTATAGTTGAGTGAAAATGAATACCGTCAATTTAAATAACAATGAGGTGTTTGAAAATCAAAATGAGTTATAAAAAGTTATTTCATATAATTTTGGTTACTAGAAGTAAACTTTATATATTTCGTAATTTGAGTGCTTATAAAAGAATATTAGTCACTCCTCTGGTGGGGAAGAGAAATCACTTGTGGACCCAGTCCACAGAACATTTAGTAATAAAACAGGTTAAAAGAGAAGATAATAAATAATATCATATATAAATAATATAATAGACTAAAAAAGCAAATAGCAAGTTTTATGGACTATTAAAGAAATATACTCGAATGAAATACATATGTTAAGATAGAACAAAAAAACCTTGATACGGTTATAAATTTGTAATTCTTACCATCTAAGCATTTACCATCATCTGTTTTACAAATGCATCTTCGTGGAGAAAGTACATCAACAACAACTAACTGAAAGGAAGAATATAAAGAATACATTATCAGATCAAAATACAATCAATGAAGTCTTAATCTTAGAAACAAATTTAATTTAAAGCTAAATAATTCAAATTTATTAAAGCAAGTACTTTAAGCATAGTACTTTTTAAAAAATTTCACTGCAAATAACTCGCCCCTCTAGAGCACTAATTTTAGACTTTCATATTTTGTATAAAAATATATATTATATGAAAGCAATAAGTAAATAAATTATTACACATGCAATAAATAACTCAAGTATGGGTAATTCTACTATGGTTAGGTTATTTGGACAAGGCAAAACATTCAAGGGCTAACTGCCTATGAAAAGGGATACTTATGTGGAGGACGTTTTATTTGAAACTGATTTGCATTCATGATATACATGGGGAAATCCATGAAAAACACTTATGCAACCAGCCTTTGAACATGAGTTGAACTCCCAATATTCAGCAGCCTTAACCACTTGGGCCTCTTGAGGCCAATTTGTTTAACAAATGATCAGTATTTAAAATAAAAATCAACAACATATGTACACTGCGGGAAAAAAAAGGGTGCGACAGTTCTATGTTTCCAATTCTACTGGGCCGATTGACAAAATTCAAATTGCATTTTTCATGTCTCGAAAGTGCAATTTAGGATATTATTAGATTTATATATAGTACTATTCCAACATAGGTATTTTGACACAAAATCTGACTTTTTCTGAAACAACATACCAATTTTTTTACATATTTCGATTCTACGACTCAAATTATGCCTATATATTAAATTTTGTAAAATTTGGTGTGAAATTTACGGAGAAAATCAAAAATTTATCTTGCTGATTTTTTTCAATTTATACCTAGAACTACTTAATATATGGCAACCTATTTTCCTTTCCCTTTTTACATTGTGCGTGAGCGGAAAGAAGTCACATCCTTCTTTCTTTCAAATAATGTTCTTTATATTATATTTTATGTTATTATTTTAAATATGTTTTTTTTCTTTTTTGAATTTCATTTTAATTGTTTAAGTTGTATGGTTTCTTTCAAATTTGAACTGTGTAGTTTACATTAAAGGTGCATCGTTTATTATTTTTTTCAAATAGTTTTTTTTATACTATATTTTTTACAATCTAATTTTAATTTTTTTTTGTTGCATTGTCTCTTCAGATAATTGCTTTAAAATTTTCTATTCATTTATTTGAGCTGTGCATTTTAAATATATTTATTAATATAAATTTTCCAGAATTTGATTTTATTTATTTGCATTGCATTTCTTTTGGAAAAATAGTGACCCAGACTATGATGTGTTTGAAAACTGCATATATTAAAAGGGAAAATACAGTAAAGCACAGTTAACAGGCATTTCAATGTTCCACTTAGAAAAGATATATATCTGACATTTTAATTTAGGATAACTTGCATACACTGCTTTAAACAGTTTTATCATTGTGCCCATTACTTTACACAATTTTACCATCTTATATTTAATTTTTCAAAATGTTATTCATATTTTATTTAAATATTTTACTTTTGAAATCGCAAGAATCAAACATCATAAAATTTAAAAAACTTAAATTTTAAAAAAATACTAAATTTTATGCAGAAATTCATTTTTTTCCCTTAATAGCTTGCTTTTTTTTTCAGGCATTCTGCAATTATATTAAAAAGCATTCAACTTTTCGAAACATCTTGGTCTTTCCGAAATTAATTTTAAATAAATTTATCGCCTTCCATTTCAAAAGGGCCCCTGGTTGCATGGCCGCTTTCATTATTTTTCTCACGTGGAACGTGTATACACTGCGCTTTTTTATATTTTTTTTAAAAAAATAATTTGTATAATGTCTTTTAAGTTAAAGGTGCTTTTCCCTCTTAACTACTGCTAGTTTCAGTGTTAGCTGGTGTTATCAGATCACCTAATTCTTTATTTCTTCATTAATTGTTTTGACTTCTTGTTCTGCACCCAAAAATTCTTAGCTGCCAACTGCTTTTGCAGTTTGTATGATTTCTTTGGCTTAATTTTCAATAGACGGAAATCCTTTGAAATTTCTGGGCACAGCTAACGTCAGAAAGTATTCAATGTTCTCTTGTAAAGAATGTGTTGCTAGAGCAATGCAGGCAAAGCTCTGTAGATGATCACTTCTCTGAAGATACATCTGATCACCTACAAATGAAATTCTAGCACTGGGCAAATTAAAGCTATGCAATTAAGGTAACAACTATGAGGAAATTGCATTCCACAAATTTGCAACCGGCATTGATTTACTGTATTTAATAATAAAGATTACTATATCTCAAATTAAGGATTAAAAAAGTGTCAATTAAAAGTTTAAAGTTCAAAAATAGAATTTCATTTTTCACTAACTCAAATCAACTGTTGAGGAAAATCATTTGCATAGCAGCATGTAATGTGGAAATAAAACAAATTTCTTGAATGTCATGATGTAACCAGGTTTCCCACTGGTTCTTTTATCCCACCAGTTATCAGGACTAGGGGTACATAGGGGCGAATTATAAGCAGTGAACAGTTTTATCCCTCTTTCCAGAAACTGCTTCACTACAAAATTCAAGGATAGTAACAATATAGAAAAAATCACTTTGATTAAGAAATATAAATGGTATGTGTGCACGGGGAAAAAATATTAATTTTTATCTGTTTATTTTTAACTGGATGAATATACTTTTGATGAAAATAAGTGAAGTTGCAATCAAATTTGGCAGTTTTTGGAGTATGAAAATCTCACAGAATAGAGATTCAACTGACAAAAGCTTTAAAAACAATAAAGTAAAAAACTTTATATTTCAAATGTATGCCAATGTAGAGGACAAAGGTTTCTGCCGTATCATGACTATGTATTTCTGTCAGAAAATAAATAATCCAGTGAAGAAATGCTGAAGATTTTGGGCACAGCAATGAATTTAAAACCAAGGATGAATGATGTGAAAACTTCCAAAACAAACATAGCATTATTCTTAGGAAGGTCTAGGATGAAATTGTATCTGTACCTTTATGTATAAACAGTGTATTAAGAAGCACTTTTCTTAATTTAAGAGATAATAGGTATTTTCATTATTAACAAAACAGGACTCTTCCCTCAATGTTTACCCATAACAGCAGTAACATTCAAACAGAAAATGAACTGAGAAGTTATATAATATAAACTACATGTGATGACACTATTAGTAATAATCAAAATGGAAATAAAAAATATTGACTACTTGCTAAAGATCATTCCATGAAGCTCAGGGAAAGGAATGAACAAATCTATTTGTCTGAAGAAAAAGATATTAAAAATCAAAACAGAAGAGAAGCAAGCTAAAGTTAAACATAAAATTAGCTGATCAACAACCTTGTATTTGGTCTTGATTTAGTCAAAAACGTAATCAAAATCGAGTGCAAATAGGCCAGAGAGCAAAGAAATCTGAAAAACTTAATTTTATTGACAAAAATAATTCCTTTTTTTCCTAATAAGCACAAAGCTTATTCCATACACTCTATTTAAAGGGGGGGGAACTATAATTAAAAAATTTTTTACGTTAAAGTGATTAAAGATTAAATCCCAATTTCTCAATACAGAAATCATTTAAAATTTGGAAAGGGAGGAGAATACATTTCCAAACTTTAGGTGACTGCAGACATCATCAATGTTATGGATGCAATAAGAATGACACAGTATGTTTAAATGAATGTTAAAAAGAAAACAATCATAATGATTTCCTAAAACCAGAATTTGATCAAAGGACCTGCAAGAAGAAGAAGAAAAGATAGAGATCACTGGTACGAAGCTTTAAGCGCATGCAAATAATGCAAATATAGTAAACTCGAAATAGTGGTTATGTATCAAGAACAGATTTAATTTAGACATTCTGCTAAAACCATTTTAAGTCATGAATGTTTCATTGGCTATATATAGAATGTTGACAGATGCAAAGATTACACACATGCACACCTTTTCACATATAAAATCCAAGCATTTAAGCAAGCAATTTTTAAAATCTGAGTAAATATATTTTCTCATTTTTATGTCTGCTTAGATTCTAAATAATTCTTTTTTATGTCAGATAGCTTTCCTTCAATTTTAGTATATATTATTACTAAATAAATACATTAAATTTTTTCCTGAATTGAGAATTGAATGTACTAAGATAAAAGATTCAAGAGATTTTCAATACGTAAATACAATTTATTTACTCTGTATAAAATAAGCTAGTCTTTACAGCGAATTTTGGTTTTTCATTGATAGACTGAAATTTAATAAAACTTTCTCCAATTTTAAAAAATAACAATGAATATTCAAATCTTTCCATTGCATGTCTACTCCTTTGTGAATGATTCTACAAAGGTCTTTCATGAAATGCAATACCTGACCATTATGCATAAAACCTTATTTGCTCCATGAAAATAATTTATAACATAATTTTTGAAGCTCTTATGCATTTTAATCTTTAAACATGAAAAAAAAAAAAAAATTAAAGCAGATATTGAAAAGATCTTATGAATCATTTGTTTGTAACATGTTTGTAACACAGCACAACAATAGCATATAATATTCAAAAGTACCTCTTTTCATACAGTTGTATTTCAATAAACTTTATGCAGTTAACATTAAAGTTGTCAGCAAGATTATTTAAAGGGAGGGGGAACAAAAATGTGGGGACTATTATGCAAAAGAAATTACTTGACATAATGTTATGACTTTACTTCATTCACTTTTTATAAAAATAAACTAAAATTCTTAACTGCATAATAGTAGTATTGCCACCATGGTGAGGTTGAAACAATTCTGTCAAATATACAGATCTCATGCAAACCAGTGCTTTACGATAAATTATATTATTTTATCAAACACACTTTTATTTGCACATATTACTCTTAATAAAATAACTAAATTTAAATACTGCACATACCTTTGTATTAAAATATTTTCCTTTCTTGTACTTGTCATTAATAAGACGAACCCTCAATTGAGGTCTAACCCAAGATTTTGTACTTTTATGTTCACTGCCAGATATATAGTTTTCAACACTAGAAATAGAATATAAAACAAGCTATTATGTTAATAGTCTAATAATGAGATTCAAGAGTAACTTTATAGGAATAATCTTCGCTATAAGAATGTATGCATATGAAAAATATTAGATAAGATTCAGATGTACAATATCTAAATTACGAGTTTATTCTAATATGCCATGAAAGCAAAATTATACAGAAGACGCTGATTTCTTTTTTGGAATACCTTTGAATGGATAATTTAATAAGTAATTATAAAATGAAAATGTCCATGTCTAAGAGCATAATTACTCACGTTTTCCTGCAATGCAAAAAAGCAAAATTAAACTATCGACTTGCTTTTTTGGGGAGTATTTTTTTAATGAATAGGTAACCATAAAATGAAAAATGCTATGTTTTATATTTCTATATAGTCTGGATAACATATACAGTACACTTTTTTCACAAATAAAACTTGATATTATCATATAATAATTTTCATATCTTTAACTATTGTAAGTATTAGAATGTATGAACATTTTTAACAAATCAAGTAACAAATAAATATGTTTGAAAAGCATCTGCAGAATAAAAAAATGCCAATGTTTTAAAATTATATGCATAATTCTTCCTTGTTTCTTATTAAATTGCAAATAAAAGAATTTCCCACTTTTTCAACATAAGGTTGCTATATCTAAAAAATCTTTTAATGTACAACTGACTCAAATTTTATGTTTTGCAAAAAATGAAAAAAGTAGTAGAAGGAGGAAAAATAATCAGAAAATCTAGAATTAAATTTACCGTTTCTCAAACATTCAGCTGCTTGAAGTTCTGAAAAACACATTTTATTACTATTTAAGTTTTCAGCTGCATGTAAGTTTAAAGATGAGTAGTAACATTTCCTAAATAAATATAAGAAAGAGCAAGAGGAAAAAAATATATTTTCTTAGAATCAGATTAACCATAGGCAGGTGATTAAATCTTTTGTGTCTGGTACATAGTTACCATAATTTACCTTTAAAACCAATAATAGAGCAGCTTCTAAACACCATAGAACAAGTTTCTCTCCCCAGATCATTGCAGCAAAACTGCAAGTCACACAATTATGAGACTCAGAGGAGAAAATTCTTCTTCCACAGCCTGAGAAAAAGTTTCATCAGAAAATGCAGCAATAAACTGAATTTTAGTCATAGATTCCTCAAAGAGAAAACATGGAAGTCAAAATTTTTACATTAAATACATAAGACACTCACTTTATTGATCAGACTAAGACTACTAATTAATAAAATATTAAAGTATACATATAAATAGGAACTCTTACATCAGAGAGAGAAAGAGATTTATGATTTTTCTGAAATTCTAGCCCATAATTACAATTCCAAAATTCATTGATTGTTCTTCTGGAACATTGTAAATTTTAAGTCAAAATCTATTATATGGCAACAAAACTCACTATAAGATTTAACATAGTCATTATATACATAAATAAATACTGATGATAATTTATTTGAAGAATTTATCATTTTGTACTACTTTATACTAGTACCTAAAATACTTGTATACAAATATTGAAGTGATAAATAATCAACATTATTAGACATGTTCTCTTTAATCAGTCTGTTCACAAGGTGTGTTTTCTATAATTTCCAAGACGCAGGAAAACAACTTAACTTCTCCATTCCCAGTGTATCACATATGAATGCTCCACTATCTCTTTACAGACCCATCATATTAAATATAAAAAGTCACAGATGACAGAATGTGTCATAATTGATATGCTAAAATTAACACATTATTTAAAATCATAAAAGTTCATAAATGTTAGATTCCCTGAAACTTCATGATATAAACTGAGTATTAACCTCAATAAGTAGCATTTACTACTTTATTTCACAAATAAAAAATGCATGATGCTGTCAACATATTATTATTCAAGATGTGTAAATAATTTATACAGAGAATAAGTTTTTTTAAATAAGCATAGCAGTAAGGTATAATATATACTGATCTTTGGAATTTTTGAGTTCTTTGCTTTATTGATGTACACAAATAATTTTAATGAGTAAACAATAGCAATTTTAATAATAATACTGAACATTACTTTGTTTTAAATTGTAAAAACTGGTATTTTCAGTTCAAATACCCCGATAGAAAATGAAATCCTTAAATTAGTCTGGATAACATACTTTGAGTTGAAGTTTTTTTTAAAGTTTTAATAATTAGCTGTGCGATATTAAAGCCTGTCAAATGCCCTTCTAAAGTGGGAACAGAAAGTAAACCACACTTCGTTTCTGAAGACTCTGAATTAAAAAAATAAATAGTTGAATAGTTTTTAAACTGGTACTATTGCTTCCATAGAGAGGCAAAATGGAACTTCATAGAAGCAAAATGGAACTGTTTTAACAACTGAAGACTTATTTTTCATACCCATTTCTTTAACAATTGCAGCCTTTTTCCCCTTGCACACCTGAGTATTTCTTATTAATTTCACTACTGGGAAACATTTTCCTAAATAAAGCCGCACCATTATTTAATGCATTCAGTGCAGGTTGTGCTCCAGTAAAAAGACAGAGAATAGTCATTCTTTATAAATAAAATTTTGGTTCTTTGTTTCCAGAAAAAAATTTAATTTAAAAATTTTTTCTAATACAACTCATGTTGTCCTGGAGTTTTTGTGCCCGCACAAGTTTAAAAACATTGGCTCTTCCACCACGCTAAATTGAAAAAAGACAATGACAAACAATACACATCATAAATGTATTACATTTCTTTCACGAAATAATAAAAGGGAAGTCATCTGCATATGATTTTTGACACTCACTGACTCACTTTTGACTGCATGAATGTTTCTTGCATTGAGAAAAAAACAAGTTTTTAGAGCCATCAAATTTTCAATAATGTGGTCCTCCAACAGAAAACATGGGCACTTGGAAGCCTGAATTTTGAATACCCAATTTGTTTTATTATCTATTTCAAATTTTGTAAAATTTTAATGAATTTGTGATTATCAAACTCAAAGATTTCAAAGCGAGCAATGGCAACACTGTACGGAAAAAAACATTTTTATCTCCAGCGTGTGAGACTGGGTATCAGAAATTCTAAAGATATGCTGCTTTTAAATATTTTGTCATATTGCTGTTGAATTGAATTTTACGTGGCTTAGTGTGAAGAACATTATATTTTATAAAGATAACACATAAAATGTTAAAAAAAACCACCCTTTTGGGTGTAATATAAAATCTGAAACTTTTTGGATTTCCTTTTTCCCCCCCCCTTTTTTTTAAGATTTATCAACGTGGAAATATTTCAATAAACTTATAAAATTGAGTACGCTTATTTGTTTAAATATAAGAAATACATTTCCATGCTATATAACTAATTTGTTATCATATCTGTTACATAACTAATAATTTAAATAGATTAATAAACTTTTTAAAAAAATTAATTTCCTCGTAACAAAATTATAGATATTTTTACCATAAAATATTCTTTCTTTATGACACATAAAATTTTAAAACATACCATCAGTTAAATACAATAAAGAAATGTAAATATATTCACCTATATGTAAATATATATGCAAATTCTTACCCCCTCTCTCTGCTGTGATGTCTTTTCTTTGAACTTTTATGCCTTTCATCTGAATTCTTTTCCTTTGGAAAATCTGATTCAGACTTCCTTTTATCATTTTTCTGGGTACTGTGTTTTCTATCACTATCTCTTGCTTCAGTGTGTTGCTCTTGCTTGACTTTACATTCTTTATCTTTATAATTTTCATATGAGATTCGATCTAATAATTCCAAGCGGGGGTAAAAGAATTAAAGAAATTTTTTTCTGAATCTTTCATACAAAATAATTTGTGCTTATACATTATAATATACTAATAATTCATATAAATACAAATAAAGAAACATTACTTATCACTCGGCTTTCTTTGTCATACTCTTTTTTACTAACAACATTAACAAAGAATTCTGGAAAAGTCTGTATTTTTCCATCACTGCTTAACTTGACAATAACCCTTGCATTTTCTTCATCTAATCCTAAAACCTGAAATAAAGCACATATATTTATGATTTCAGATTCAGATTTGATTTTTGGCAAAAATAAAATCAAACATTACCATGGAATCTATCAGCCACACTTTTAGAAAGTTTGTTTTGTTTCTCACACCTCTTAATTAAGGTCAATTCCTCTGCCCAACAATAAATTAATCAGGTTTAATTATTTCTTCATTTGGATTATTGCAACACAATGCCAGCACATCTAAAATAAAAATATCTCTTGATATTGCTAAATACACTACAAAGTCCGTAATGCGGACTCGCCGATACTTCAGCGATTCCGGATTAGGGGTTTTTCTGGATTATAGATCATCAATTTAAATCTGGTAAGATGGCACACAGAAATTATGCAATAAAAATCTAAAATTATGAAATAAAGAGCAATTATGATGTAAAGAGTATCAAAATTTACAAAAAAAAAAAAAAACTTAATATTTATTTGTTTACTTTATTAAACATTTCTTTCAATGTAAGTTGTTTAAATTGCTTCGTTTTTTTGTGATAATACTTTCTCTTTAATGCTATAAACAGACATAATTTCTTGTTCAGTTACAAAGTTCCAGTCCTGTAATTGCTGTGTCGAGAATACTGACTAACTTGTGAATCGAAATTTTTTCGTTTTCAATAACCTCTCTGTCACTTCACTATCGGAAGCGGTATTTTCTGGATCTAGAACCATAATTCCACTTTTTGTTTGATACACATAGAAACATGCTTTCGCTTTGTAGAACCTTTGGCAACTCCAGAATTGGAAACTCTTTTTGACATAATCGAAAGTTCAAGCTTAATTTTTATAAAATTGCTCTAACAGTCTGCAAAAAATAATAAAATCCAATCTGGATCCAATTAGAAGATTAAGGAACAGCGCAATCTGCAACATTAACTGAAATGCCTTAGAATCAGTAACTATAATTTTAGCCTAGCTTATACCGTCCGTTAACCATTAAATGCAACATGTAAACGCATTATGCGCATGAGTAAAACATACAAAAAAAAAGTGTGTTACTTTGAGGTCCGGATTATAGATCATTCCAGATAATGAATGTCCGGATTACGGACTTTGTACTGTAATTATCTCTTCATATTTGTTAATAATCCTTTCTTAATATTTTGATAATTGCCTGCACCTTATATTTTTCTACATTTACGCATATGCAACTTATTGGTATGATTCCAATGGATGATATCAAATTTCATTTCAACTGTGTGCCAATTTAATTTTCAACAGGTTTAAATTCCTAGGTCTTACTCTCTGTTATTCTTACTGTCATTATTTAGAACTAAAAAAGAAGGAAGTGCTAGATTTGATGGTAAATGAAGAAGCATACTAAATCTAAACAGTACAGAAGTATTAGAAGTGGTTGCTTTGACTATAAAATAGATAATACTTCCATTAAAAAAAATATGTTACACATGATTTATAAATAATGGACATTTTGATCTACAAATAATGAAGATAGGCAGGGACGTAGCTAGGGGGGAAGTAAGGGAGAACATCTGTCCCCGGGTGCAGCATCCACAGAGTGCCAAATTGATGTTACGAAATTTTAGAATGAAATGTTTTTCCTTCTTGGCAAATAGGAAGGGAGGGTGCAAAATGTTCAGTTGTTCCCTGGCATTGGAAGCCCTCAGTAAGGCTAAGTGCAGAACACTGGAAAGTATTCAGCCCTTATGTTTTATGTTTAAAAAAAAAAAAAAAAAAAAAAAAAAACGGGAAATTACAAGGTAACATCTTATATACCAACTGCCTAAAATAATAAATAAATAAATTCATAACAAATTCCAAAAAATGAAATGAGAAGATAAAGAAAAACATATAAACGACTTCAAAATAGTTACCTCTCCATAACTTCCTTTATGAGAACCTTGAGTTATATTTACATAAGAACCTTTAACTAAAGCTAATTTCTCATCACTTTCCTTTTTTTGGTTTTTTTTTAATGCTGAAGCATCAGCTCCAAGACCTAAACCTTTTGGTCTAAGCTGTACTTGAACTGGTTCCACAATTCTAAATATATGAAGATATTTTTATTATTATAAAATAAATAAATACAAATAATACATATAAATTAAGGTCTTCTCTTATTTCAGCAAATATATTTTTCATAAAAATAAATTCATGCAGTTTTCAAGGGCTATTCACGAAAATTTATGGTTTAGTTACAGGACATTTAAAGACTGTATATTTTTAAATGCTTAAATTACTTCTTAGTGAGGCCCACCAGCGGCCGAGCGATAAAGCCGCTGAACACTGGTAGTTCGGTCCGAGGTTCGAATCCCGCGAACGGGCTGGCTGCATGGGCGTTTTCGTGGTTTTCCCCATGTGTAACGTGTATACGAGCCAGTTCCCCTTTGAAAGTCCTCCACGAAGGCATCCCTTCTCTTAGGCAGATAGCCCTCGAGGCTTTGCCATAATCACACACACAATACTTCTTAGTGAACATAAGAACTTAACACCTACCAATTTAAAACAATAGAATATTACTTTAAATTATATTGTTTTTGATTGCTTTATTTCCAACACTATTTTTTAAATATCTGTTTTATATAAAATAATATATCTAGTAAATAAGTATAGTGTTTTTCTTTACATATGAATTTTTTATACTATTAATTTCCTGAAGATTCATTTCCTTAATATAATCAATCAAATGAAGCCTAACAAGGATGGTCTTACAAACCTCCCCCCCCCACATAATATGAAGTTTCTGGTTGTCAAAGGCAGTTCTGACAAAATATGGCAGATTTTTAAAATTTCATAAAATCTCCTAAATAGTACTTACTATATTGCTAAGTATATGTTTTCAGGTTTCTATTTTATATTATGCATGTATGCATGCTCTTCCCACTGTAGAAAACTGGCAGCATTTAGTGCCATCAAATTTTGAACACATGTAATCCTCCACTGAACATAATGCAACTTAAAGTATGAAATTTAAATTTCTTTCCTAATTTATTCTATGTTTTGTGAAAATTTAAGAAAACTTTGATTAATAAACTCAGAAATTTGAAAGAAATCCATTTTCACTCAGCCAAAGTATCTTTCAAATTTAAATTGACAAACTCGGCTATGCAAATATAACATGTCTGCCACTGCTATTTTTTACAGGCCAGGGTGTTTGTTACCATTCAGCAAAATAAAAGACATCAAATTTCATCTCTCTTACTGATGAACAAATTAAGCAATTTAAAAGCAATAAATGCTGTTCTTAATATTTCATTTTAATGTTTAATCTGCTTGATTTAAATATAAATGCATTTAATTCATAATAATTTAAATAAAATATTAAATATTTTTATGAAATTACATTAGAAGAACTGACTAAAATAATCATACATCTTTTCTCTCTTTTTACACTGGTGTGCAAAAATTAAGGACGAGACGGTTTTTTCAATATAACCTTTGTACAAAAGCTTTCCAAATCAACACATTTAATACCGTAAGATCCCCAATACGTAAGGACATGAGTAACGTAAGCAACACTTACTAAAAGAGAAATCAGAGGGATAAAAAGAAGCTTTATTGAAAAAGTAGCATGGAGGGCAATGCGACTGAAGGCCGAAACATCCCTGTGATGGGTGTCCAGCAAGAAACATCCGGTCTTTAATAGGGGATATTATCTCCCCTGACTGCTAGGCAGGTTTCACAGCGTCTGCCCATGCTGAGAATGAGGGTGTCAATGAGTTGTTGAGGCATTGCTGCCCATTCGTCTTGCAGCGCCAATCGAAGCTCCGGAATCGTTACTGGTGGTAAGGTACAAGCTGCCAAGCGTCTGCCTAGAAAATCCCATACATGCTCAATGGGATTGAGATCCGGAGATTGTGCCGGCCAATCCATACATTCAATATCCTCACTCTCTAAGAGCTGTTCGGCAGCTACTGTGCGATGACATGGTGCATTGTCGTCCATGAAAAGGAACTGCGGACCCATAGCGCCTCTAAAAAGACGCACATATGGAAGAAGAATCTCGTTACAATAACCGGTCCCGTTGACTGAACCTGCGTCGAAGATGTGAAGGTCTGTATGACTACCAAGCATGATGCCTCCCCAAACGAGAACACCGCCACCTCCATACCTGTCCCTTTCAATGATGTTCGAGGGATGATTGCGGCTTTCCCGCTCTCTCCAGATAAGTATGCGATGAGAATCGCTACTCAGACTGAATCTGCTCTCATCTGTAAAGAGTACTCGTCCCCATTCATTGTCTCTCCAATTCCGGTGTTCCAGGCACCACAGAGAACGCCTTCTCCGATGGGCAGGCGTTAGAGGTACACACAGTACAGGGTGTCGTGCAAACAGACCACCACCGTGCAGTCTTCTGGCCACGGTAAAACACGATATCGGTCGTCCAGTCGCCTGTCTAGCGATTTCTCCCGCTGTCTGCCGCCTGTTTCTTCTGGCCTGTAAGGCAATATACCGGTCATCTGTGGGTGTGGTTCCTCGTGGGCGACCACTACTAAACCCTCGGATAGCTGTTCCTGTAGTTTGAAATTGTCTCCAAAGTCGTGATGATGCTGTGAGCAATTCCAAACTCTGCAGCCACACTTGTCACACTGCGGCCTTCCTCCAACTTCCCAATGATTCGACATCAGGTAAAAGCATCCAGATGTCGTCTAACAGATTGATTATTCGCCATTTCTTGCTGAGGCAGTAACTCGGTGTGATTTTAACTGCTATACGCATGCAATCTCTTTGCCAGAAATACTGATCTTACACCGACAACATGCTTTATACTACTCAGACACTCCCCCATTACGTCTACCTGCATATCTGCGCATGTGCTACCGTACATCACCTTACTTAATCTCCTGACTGGTCTTTCTGTCCGCTCTGCCTCTTCGTTCAGCTGATATGCTAATTTTTTGACTTCGTCCTTAATTTTTGCACACCAGTGTATAATAATTATTTTAGGTGGCTAGTGCTTCTAAATGAGCAAAAATATTTTAAGTTTTCAGCATATTGCTCTGTTTCCAACAATTTCAATATTTTATTAAAAATCCTTTCTTAGTTTCTTCGGCTAGAGTGCAAGAAGGAAGTCGTTTTTTTTGGTGCACAAAACTGAAAGCTTACTTTTGGTCCCACTTGCCAAAAGAACACTGAAGGTGAAGAAACTGATTTAATTCATTATTTTGCTCAGTTTTAAACAAATATGGCTGCTATGGTAAAAAAAAAAAAAAAAAAAAAAAAAAAAAAGGCTTAGCTGAATTTAAACAACTTTTAAATTGCTGATAATTCTACAACTATTGCATGCAGATTAACTAAAGGCATAAAAACCTTAAACGGAAAATAAGAACAACATAATTCAATTATTTTTAAAGCAGAAAATATAAAATTTACAAACTATAAGAATAAAGAAACTGAGCTCACCGAGCCGAGTAACAGATTGGGTATACATATTCCTATACTTTTGATACGGCCAATTGCAACCTCAAAAGAAAGGTGCACAACTACATGTTATAGCAATCCTATATACAAAATTTCAACGTTCTGAGGTTACTCGTTTTTGAGTTATGCGAGATACATACATACATACAGACATCACAAAAAAAAATCTCTTTGAATCCATTTTAAATCAATTTTATAATCCATTTGGGGGAAAAGAGTCTTTTATTCAGTCCTTATGTACAGATGTCATGTAAAAACATTGTTAAATTGCATTTGATAGAGATCAGAATGGATATTTTTGTTGAAATATGACACCTGAAAATTTTCTTGATTACAGTACTTCCTTTACTTTTTACAAGGAAGTAAAAAGAGAATTAATAAAACTGTTTGCTGATAAAAAATCTGCATTACATAGTAAGGAAGAAATCATGTAATATAAAAAAAATTCTCTAAAATTATTTAATATATTTAATAAATTTATATTTTTTAAGATTAATATTTCTTAAAGAATTTTTCCAATGCAACATAAAAAATTAATGCAAATAATCCCTTTGCAAGAATGGGGGATGTTAGAAACTTTTCATAGATGGCATGCAGAAAATTATAAAATTAAAAATATGAAACCGTAATTTATGAAATAAAGAACAATTATGATCCAAAGGGTATCAAAATTTACAAAAAAAAAAAAAAAAAAAAAAAAAAAAAAAAAAAAAAAAAAAGCTTAATTTTATTTGTTTACTTTATTGTTTACTTATTAAACATTCTTTCAATGTAGTTAAGTTGCTTTGTTTTGTGATAATACTTTCTCTTTAATTCTATAAACAGACATAATTTCTTGTTCAGTTACAAAGTTCCGCTGTTCAAGTCCTATAATTGCTGAGTCGAAAATACCGACTAATTTGTCAATTGAAATTTTTTCGTTTTCCATAACCTGTGTGTCACTCTCTTCACTATCGGAAGCGAATTATAATGATGAGGAATTTGATTTTAATCATATCAAAGATGGAATGCTAAATATCAAAATAAATTACATCAGTAGATCAAATGCAGACATCGCATAATGTAAAATCAATCTTCTATGCAATCATAATCTGAAATTTTATTTCTGAAAACATGTTTATATTTGAAAATAATAACAACACAAAAAATAATTAAACACAAATCTAACCAATTTTTATTTTTAAATTTTTGTTCATGATCTTAGTCTAAATGTTATCTTTAAGTTATTTATGTACAATTAGCTGGATTATGTTGTATATTATATATTACAGACAAAAGTGTAAGGAAGTTGTCAAGAAAATCCTTCCTTTAAAAGTGGTTACACAAGAAAATGAGAATTACTGGTCAAGATGCTGCTTCAGGATCACACAGGCAGGCATTTGAAATGCACAAACTTTATACAAGAGGATATTAAATCAAAAAGGCTGATTTCTGAGATTTTAAAAAATATGAAAACTGTACTAACCACACAACTTTGCCCTAATTTTTAAACCTTAGCGCTCCACACATTTTTGTACCACTGCCTACCAGCAGCTCGTCACATTTTCGCAGCAGAATGAGTGAAACGGAGTCTTATTTTAAGTGAGAAGCATCTTAAGCGCAATCATGCTAAAAAGATTTGGCTGTGGAACAAATGCCAGATGGCCACGTAGCTAAGGGTTAATACATAGCACTCCAGGCTATGGATTCCATTCTTCTTTCCCTACCACTTAGCCATTTTAAATGCCCTTATGCCACACAAACACTATCACTTAAAAATACCCATGCCTTCTCCTGGATTTGAACCCAGGCATATCAATACAGCAGCCAGTATTGCTAACTAGTAAAGCAATTGGGAGACTGCACACATGCACAGTGTCCTCCCCTCCCAGTGTAGTTAAAAAAATCAAGTGTTTCTAAAATAATGATATGATTTAAGATACATTTCAGAAATTTTCACATATTAGACAAAAATCCTGCACTGTCAATATATAGTCATATTTATATTAATTCAAGTTTTATTATTAGTTAAATAAACTGTTCTTTAAATTAAAAACTTTATTATTAGTTGAACAATAAATGAATACTGCTGATTTTAATTCTTTTAATAGAAAAATTGTTCCATTCTTAACCACATATCATAGAGAATGGAATGTAATAGATATTATAGATATATTGGGTTTTAATGAAAGTTTCCTGCAATTGCAAACATCATCTGTGCAAACAGTTCACACTGGTGTGTTTAACCATATATTGTCAAACGATTTTTGGCATTTGAAAGAAAGAGACTAGCTATAGAACACTGTGTTATGAAATTTGTAAAAAATATTGTTATCATTAAATACAGGGCGTCTGAAATGCAAATATAATGCTAACAGATTAGAATCATTAATTACTTCCAGTTCTGCTGTAAAAAGTCAGCTATAAAATGTCACCAAATCATGTGTACAGCTTTAGGTACTAATATTGTATCATATGACGCTGTGGATATTTGGTACCTCAAGAACTATGACATTCAAGAAGCAGTGCGCTTTGGTCATCCTACTGATGTTGATGTGGCATGCCCACAAGAACTTGTGGAAGAAGATCAGTATGCAACCACTCAAGAGCTTGCTAAGGAGTTAGATGTTAGTGCCATGTCTATTAGTCCACTATGCATCACATAAACCTGGTATACAAATTCAATCGCTGGGTGCCACATGAGCTGATTCAAGCAGATAAGGACAGACATGTTCGCACCTGCACTAATCTGCTCAAAATATCAATGCAAGGACAAAATTCTGGACCAGATCGTCACTTGTGATGAAAAGTGGATTTACTTCAACAACAGAGACTGAAAACAGGGTTGGTCTCCACCCAATGAGTTTATTGTTAGCGTCACAAAGTGCAATCTGACTAATAAAAAGATCATGCTTTGTATCTGATGGAATTGCCATGATCTTATCCACAAAGAATATCTGGAAAAAAAAACCTCGACAATAAGGTGTACAGCGAGATGCTAGTCTGTATTGATGTTGCTATCAAGGAAAAATTAACCACGTTCCAGCGCAATAAAAACATATTACTCCCTCAAGATAATGCGAGACTATGTGTCTGAATTCACCAGCTGGACTCTGTACATACTGGAATTGGATCTTTTGCCACACCCAGCATATAGCCCCAACATTGCACCTTTGTACTTCTACCTTTCTTTATACCTGCAGCTACATCTTACTGGTGCTATCTTAGGATGTCCGAAATGAGGTTGATCTGTTTCTGGGCCAAAAGTTTAGAAAAACTTTGGGAGAAAGACATAGATTTGGGTGGTGATTACTATCTGCACTAAAGATGTTGCTTTCATGTTTTTTTGCTAACTAACTTTATTAAGAACCTTTTTTTAGTGGAAAACTTTCGTTACAACCAGATATATCACATATTATAGATAATAAAGATACATTGCAATATAATTAAGAAATTTGCAACTTCCAAAGCCAATTCCTCTTTCCATGCATAAATGCACAAAAAGAGGAATAAATTTATGTATCTATCTATGTACACACACATTCAATAAACTGAAAAAGTGTTATTTTTTTAGTCTTAAATACTGAAAATGAGAATACTTTAAATTTTTTATAAGTAATTAAATAAAAGTATTTTCCAAAGTAATTTTTTTTTTTTTTTTTTTTTTTTTTACAAAATATTGAGGAATTAATTACTTGCTACTGTTAGCTCCTATTGGATCACCTTCTTTCCAACCCATTCCTCTAAGCATAGCTAAACCATACTGTTCAACTGGAACCTTTTCATAATCTTCCAGTTTGGGTTCCTCAGGCCTTAAAGAAACATCCAATTTTTCATCTGTTTCGAATCCATCAGGTATTTTGTTCTGCATAATAAGGGGAATGGTAACTGTATAGTTTTTAAACTCTCTCTTCTCCCATTTTTCATTCTGCTCTGATGTTTCTAAAAAAAAAAAAAAAAAAATTTATTTAATGGCAGAAAGTAAAACTATATGAAATAAAAATTCATTGTAAAATATGTAAGAAATGCATGTCAAATTTAAGAAACAAGATAAAAATATGACATTTATTTCAAATGCAAAGTTCAGTGTATCTTATGAGATAATCTGTGCTAGGTCTCATTTTTATTACTCATTTTATTACTATATAATTATTTTATTTATCTGCTCTAGTTACATCACCTTAAATGTGGAACAGCATTATTGTGCAAAATGAAAAAAAAAAAAAGTAAAATAAAATTTATGAGATTATAGGCTATTTGCCCCCTTGTTACTGAATGCCTTCATGACGTAGCTGGAAAGTGCATTCAACTAGCAACCAAGAGGTCCAATGGTCGGATCCTACACATTTTCTGTACTTATAAACCTAATGACTATACAAATGATGGCCGAACTAAAAAAAGGCAGCGTATGATAATTTTGGATAAGGTGACTGGATAAACAGTTTTGGTGACTAGGTTCCCTCAACCTCCACAGCCCTTTAAAAGGGAGAGTATATATATTCTCCCCCCTTACGCATGCCTTCATGGTGTAGCACAGTGGTTCCCAAACTTTGCCTATGGACCCCCAAGTGGAAAAGCTACATAAATGGATAATATAAAAATTACAAATTTAAAAAAAATATTTTGTTGAAGAAGTATTGGTTGATCTTTGGATTATGGTAACTTGGCGATTTTTTGGCGACCAACTCTGCTACAGCAACTCTCCATTTTTTTTTTTCCGCCGCCATTTTGTTTTCACGAAGTAAAGACATGTTTCTTTTCTTTTTATTTACTGAACACTTTTTCCAACAATCTACTAGGCAAATTACACTTATACTAGAAATTTTATCTAACAAAACTGCTTAATCATGACAAATATTCACTGCAAAATTGGGAAAAAGTGCACAATCGCAAACTCCTTGCGCGTTTTTCACAATAATACATACACATAAACCATGTACACGTCGACTTTTTTTTACTTAAAAAAACATCCCAAAATTGCACAAAAATGGCATTGCGCACACGCTTCACTATATCCATGTACACTGCTTTTTCTCATAAATTAGAAAAATTTCACGAAAATGCATGACGATTTTCTGAATCTTTATACCCGGTAAAAAGAACATACATGAAATTACCTTATCGCGAAAAAGTATATTCCCTTCCCAAATATGAACATTTCCACGTATAAAATAAATAAAATATCTAAAAACTTTTACCTCTAAATTATCTATTATATTATATAAATGTCACCAACGAATTCATACCGCAAACATTACAAATACTTAGTGTCAAATATTTAAATTATTTCCCATGCACGTTTACTTCAACTAAAACGTCTATACCAAATTCCTACAAACATAAAAATTCACACAAAATAACTATCATTTAATTAAAATATCACTAAACCATGTACACGTCGACTTATTTTTACTTAAAAAAAACATCCCAGAATTGCACAAAAATGGCATTGTGCACACTTTTCACTATATCCATGTACACTGCTTTTTTTCTCATAAATTAGAAAAATTTCACAAAATGCATGAAATACTCAACGTATACTACTCAAACATATTCCAAAATACTACAAACATATAACTCACAAAATCACGATCATTAAATTAAAATATAATTAAATTAAAAACACTATTTAAAATATAAATAAGCACATACATTAAATTAATAAAAATTAGATTACAATCCTAATTTTTTTAAACTAAACCATTGCTAATAACAATTTTCAAATAATACCATTTTAATTTATTTACTCCTTACATTTAGAACAATGCATAAAAATAATATCCTCAAATGATTAAAAATACTAACTTAGCTAATCTTCTTCAGAATATTCATTACATCGCTGCAGTACTACTGCTAATTTCTAAATCCTAAATCTAGTAGTTAACTGGAAGTCTATTCACCAAGTAATAAGAAATTAATAAAATTTCACCTATACTCAAACTACTTTCAGCAAACCACGTACCCTTCCTTACACTCCTTTTCACAAAATGTCCATTTTCACCATATTTATTGCACCGCCATTTAAACTTGTAATATCCTTCCTTTCACACAATCTCAACTTATTATCATTATCAGATAAACGCATTAAAAATTTAGAATTCACTTTACATAGCACCATGCAATCCGAAAATTAATCAACACTATTTCACACAACACACAATGAAGCTTTTCCAAATTAACCCCCTTTTCCGATTAAAGAACTGTAATTCGTCCATTAATGTCACGTTTCACACAACACAGAATATAGCTAAATACGAAATTTCCAGATTTCCCCCCCTTTTTCCGATTAAACAACTGTAATTCGTCCATTAATGTCACATGACATATCTCATGATCTCTCATTTCCCTCACACAAAATGTGTAATCGGAAGTGAGTGCTTCTCACATTATTACCAAAGTCCTAGGTAGTAACCTTTATCGCCTCCAAAATGTCGCCAAACTACCAGTTACCATATTCCAAAGATCAGCCGAAGTGTTTATTGAAATTATAACTTTTGTTTAAAATAAAATTAAAAGAATTAATGACTTGGATGAATTTGATGAGATGTTATGAGTATATTTATGTGTGGCTCAATATTTGTGAGTAGCAACCGCAAATTTCCCCGATCACTAATTTCTTCAAATATTCCATACTTCTGAGAATTCTGAGACAATAACATGGGAAAAATTCTTACCACAAAAAATTAAAAGAAGATTTTTTAATTAATTACATAGCTATTTTGCTTTTACTAAGAACTGTTTTGTGAATTGTGCGGTTGATCTTTACAATATGGTAACTGGTAGTTTGGCGACATTTTGGAGGCGATAAAGGTTACTACCTGGGACTTTGGTAATAATGTGAACAGTACTCACTTCCGATTACGCATTATTTTGTGTGGGGGAAATGAGAGATCATGGGATATGTCATGTGATATTAATGGACGAATTACGGTTCTTTAATCAGAAAAGGGGGGAATTTGGACAAGTATCTGTGGATGTATATTATTTGCAGTATTAAGCTTCATTGTGTGTTGTGTGAAGTAGGGTTGAATAATTTTGGGATTGTATGGCGCTCTCTAAAGTGAATTGTAGATGTGATAAAGAGAATTTTTTTTTTATCAAATTCTATCAAATTCGGAAAAAAAATCGTTCAGTAATTTTATTGAATCCATAATAAAAGTGTATCCACCATGTAAGGAAGATTCGGAAGAAGATTAGGTTAGTTAGACTTTGTTAAGAAAGTGAGTAGTATTCAGTTCTGATTACGCATTATTTTGTGTGAGGGAAATGAGAGATCATGGGATATGTTATGTGATATTAATGGACGAATTATTGTTCTTTAATCGGGAAAAAATCTGGCAATTTTGTATTTGGCTTTTATTCTGTGTTGTGTGTGAAATAGTGTTTGTGAATTTTTGGATCCCATGGCCGTAACTAAAGTGAATTCGAAATGGGTATTTAGTGGTATTGAAAAGGATAGTAATAAATGTTTTTTAAGGTTATGCGGAAAGAGAAATAAAGATGTTTTTATTATGTTATTTATTTTACCTGGTATCTTGCTTTTGAAAGATAAGTATGATTTTAAAGATTCTGAAACAGAAGTAAGAAAAGTGTATCCGCCACGTAATCAAGATTCTGAAGAAGATTAGGTAAGTTAGTATTTTTAATTATTTGAGGATTTTATTTTTATGCATTGTTGTAAATGTAAGGTGGAAAGGAATTTGGTATTATTGGGGAAATTGTTATTAGCAATGATTTAGTTTAAAGTAATTAGGATTGTAAGGTAATTTTTATTAATTTAATGTATGTGCTCATTTATATTTTAAGTAGTGTTTTTTGAATTTAATATATTTTAATGAAATGATAGTTATTTTGTGAATTTTATGTTTGGAGGAATTTGGTATACGTTTAAGTTGAAATAAACGTGCATGGAAATAATTTAAATATTTGATATTAAGTATTTGTAATGCTTGAGGTATGAATTCGTTGGTGACATGTATAATGTAATAGATAATTTAGAGGTAAAAGTTTTTGGATATTCTATTTATTTTATATGTGGAAATGTTGATATTTGTAAAGGGTAAATACTTTTTCGCGATCATGTAATTTCATATATGTTCTTTTTACCGGGTTTAAAGATTGAGAAAATTGTCATGTATTTTCGTGAAATTTTTTTTAATTTATGAGAAAAAAGCAGTGTACATGGATATAGTGAAGAGTGTGCGCAATGCCATTTTTGTGCAATTCTGGGATGTTTTTTTAAGTAAAAATAAGTCGACGTGTACATGGTTTAGTGATATTTTAATGAAATGATAGTTATTTTGTGAATTTTATGCTTGTAGGAATTTGGTATACGTTTAAGTTGAAATAAACGTGCATGGAAATAATTTAAATATTTGATATTAAGTATTCGTAATGCTTGAAGTATGAATTCGTTGGTGACGTGTATAATGTAATAGATGATTTAGAGGTAAAAGTTTTTGGATATTCTATTTATTTTATATGTGGAAATGTTGATATTTGTAAAGGGTAAATACTTTTTCGCGATCATGTAATTTCATATATGTTCTTTTTTACCGGGTTTAAAGATTGAGAAAATTGTCATGTATTTTCGTGAAATTTTTATAATTTATGAGAAAAAAGCAGTGTACATGTATATAGTGAAGAGTGTGCGCAATGCCATTTTTGTATAATTCTGGGATGTTTTTTTAAGTAAAAATAAGTCGGCGTGTACATGGTTTATGTGTATGTGTTATTTTGAAAAACGCGTAAGGAGTATGGTATTGTGCACTTTTTCCTAATTTTGCAGTGAATATTTGTCATGATTAAGCAGTTTTGTTTGATAAAATTTCTAGCATAAGTGTAATTCGGCTAGTAGATTGTTGGAAGAAGTGTTCAGTAGATAAAAAGAAAAGAAACATGTCTTTACTTCGTGAAAACAAAATGGCGGCGGGGAAAAAAAAATAGAGGGTTGCTGTAGGAGAGTTGGTTGCCAAATTTTCGCCAAAAAATCGCCAAGTTACCATAATGTAAAGATCAACCAATTGTGCTTTATAGCATTATACCTTGTTTATTTTTCAGATTCAAAATATTGTATAAGTGGCCGAAATGGAACTATATAACAACAAAAAAACTAAATGTTTTATTTTAATGTTATTCTTTAAATATAATTTCAATATATTACCATTATTTTAATGAAATTTATCCAAGTTACAATGTTTTCAAAAAAATCGTCGAAAAATTCCCTCTATAGATACTGATCTTAAAATCGGCAAAATGTTGACAAGTTGCCAAATTTAGAACCTATATTCAAAATGCAACACAGAAACAGAATAATTGCAATTCATTTATAACTTTGAAATTCTTTACCCATTAAGGCAACATTACGTTGTGATTTATCTATATAAATGGAGTCTCTGGATCACCATCTCAACTGGTTTTTTATGTTTAAGAGTCATGAGATAGTGTTGAAAGATTTTGGCTTGGAGTAGCTCAGGTAATTTGTGGTGATCCTCGTTTAGTGTTAGGTACTATTTTTAGAAATTACCTGCTAACAATACTGATATTCAGAATGATAGTCTTATGTGCATTACAGAACGAAAATACAAGAAATAAATTTGCCGACATGATTATTTTACTTAAAAGATGGATTTGCATGCAGAAACTACTGTCTAGCTTGCTGAATATGTATACCTTTTGTTTAATAAAAGAAAATTATAATTCATAAGATAAATCTGAAAGCCTTGTTTTGATTAACTTATATAACATCATACAATCTAAATGAAAATTGTTACCTTTAAGTAATTCTTGGATAGCAAGATCTTTGATTTTACTATCCTCATCTCCAGTATCTTGCGCATTTGTATTCGAAGTTCTCCAATTGTTCTTCCGAATCATAGGTATAACCAATTCCTTTACTTTTTCCTTTGGTATAGTACTGAAAGAATATATAAATAATAGCGCTGAATATTCAATAAGTTATAATTACATGAGTAACATATAAATCATGAATATTTTCACTTAAGCTGTTAAGTATAGATCGCAAAAGAAAAGTACCTCTTAATTTCACTCTCGGCAATGGACAACACGTAGTCCTTTTCTTTAACATCATCTTCCAAACGGTTTCCCGAAAGTGTTTTTGCTGAAGTTTTAGTAAATTTAAAACTAACATTCTGTCTATCGCCTGTTACAGAATCGACTTTGACTGCTTGGAAACCTTTATCCATTTCGTTAACGCAAATCCACAATCTAAACAAACCGCTAAGTGTTGCCACTTATAAAACTAAAATAATAATAACAAGTGCAAATGTCACTCTTTGCCGAACCCTCTTTTCGGTGATAATTATTTAACTCGTAATTGAACCCTTCCTTGATTCAGTGAGAAAACCTAAACTTAACACGGCTTTTAAGTTTTTTCGAACTTAGAAAAACCTTAAAAGGGCTTTTTACAAACGCTTCGTTCATTTCTCAATAGAAGAATATAGCATGACAGAAATAATGCTCTGGAAATACTTCAAAGCTCAGATTACAGCAAATGTTTTCCGAACGGTGGCCAGTGGCCATCGTGAAAAAAAAATGAATATATACGTCCGTCTCGCGTATTTCTGAACCCTACCGCATGTTCCTAAAACGTACTCGCTGTACCTCCTGCTGTGAGAGCTGCTTCGCTGCTATTGGTTAGAAGAATTTAGACGTAACATAGAGCTTTGGGAGTATGGACGCGGAAGAGGACGGTCGCTCGCTTTGCGAGCTCCCGCCGACACAGCCTTCAACTATGGAATTTTGTGATTCTTCACAGCAAAATGTGCAAAATACCAAATTGGATACTTCGCCTGTGCAATTGTGTACTACAGTGTGCAATTCGCAACCAGAGCAAATCACCCCTGCACCGGATGATGAACGGGGAAGACTTGTCAGTCAGTTTTACGAACTCAAACATCAGTTCGAATCAATTCAGAAGCAGAAAAAACTTCATGAGACGAACACCGACTCCTGTGGATACTGCCAGCTACAATCAGCTTGACAATGCTGGTAAAGTACTTTTTCATAAGATCAACGAGACGAGATAGCGAACGTGTTAGAAGTTCCTATCTTTCACTTGCCTCCGACCAGAGATGAATTTCTAAAAATCATCGAGACTGAGCGGTTAGCCAAAATGGCCGCTACAGCCGTTGAAAATCCTCTCCCTCCCCAAACGGAGGCGAAAACGACCCACGAGATCCGAGGAAAACCTGTTTCTGCCCGTAAGCGCAAGACGCAAACAGCGGACTCTGAGGGGTTTATTACTCCCGCCACTAGAAAAATGGGAAAAACCTCCCATAATTGATTTAACTGTGGATAATAACAGTAACCAAACTACTATTCAAAATTCAAATACTTCTATTTCAAATTCTCACTTAGCTAGTACTAATATTGCTAGAAAAAACAGTAAAAACAGTATGATGAAGCTATTAAAGAATGGCTCATCAACGGCGGTGACCCCGTCAAGGAGCAAACCCCCGAGGGAGAAAAGAAACCAGTTCCGAGCAGGCACGGAGCGTTCCCCCCCCTCCACCACAGCCTCAAAATCAAATCCCGGCTATTCATATGAGGAGTAGCAAGAACTGGAAGACCCAGGTGTCTTTCTTAAGAGAAATTGCCCCAAACCTTAAGAGTACTCTCACTGGACCATATTTAAAAATTTTTGTACAGACTGAACTGGAGTTCAGGGAGGTCACACGTTGGATGAAGCAAGCCGGCATCCAATTCAAAACTTTTGATCTTAAACAGGACCGGCCAGTCAAAATTGTAGTCAGAGGCCTCCCTGTGGAAACTGATGTCGAGGACGTCAAAGAGGAAATCGAGTCACTGGGATTTAAAGTGCATCGCTGCGTTCGGCTTTACCAGCCAGGCTCCAGACATCCTATGCCACTTGTTTATGTACAAGTCATCCCACACCCTTTCCTCGACCAACTGTTTGCCGTCACTGACATGTGGGGCACAGAGGTCAGCATTGAGCGTTATCGCGGCCGAAAGGGCCCTACTCAATGCTTTAGGTGCCAGGGATTTTTCCATTCTTCGGAACTCTGCACTTTGCCAATCCGTTGTGTGAGATGCTCTGGACCCCACTGGGCACGTGAGTGCACCAAGGGGCTTGATGTACCTGCAACTTGCTGCAACTGTGGTGGAAGTCATCCAGCCTCATATAAATCTTGTCCTCGACACCCAGCTAATAAGCGGTCTCGTGGAAAGAAAACCACGCTTAAAAATAGGGCAGCTGCTCAGACAGCCCCCCCTCAAGGTTCTTCTAAGCCCCAAGCACAAGCTACTAAAGCACGTCCCATGCCTGCTCCCCCTAACGACGTCAACTCACCGTCGTATGCAACGGCGGTGAAGAACGCCACCGGGCACGGATTCAGAGCTCAGAATCCAAGACTGCCGGCCGCAGAAAAACCTGTAGCCCCAGCAGTATTAACCTCAGCAGAGTGTGCAAATGATTCCGAAGATGTCTTCGCATCCACACTAAAATGCTTGATTGAAATCTCCCGTGACCCTACGGTAGACAAGCATATTCTGCTCCAAGCCTTCAAAAGAGCTATGCCAAAGCTTAGGCAGGCAGACGCTCTGATGAGGGCCTTTTACTTATATGAAAGCTATATCGAGCTTTCAAATTAATTTCGACCTTCATTAGACCCATGTCTTCTGTTTTTCAGCCAGGAATCTTTTTAAACGGCCTAACATTCAATTGTGTCAGAAAAAAGTTCATTTACCAAACTCTGAACTAACCATTGGCTCCTGGAATGCCAATGGACTTCAAAACAAGATCCATGAAGTAAGAGACTTTGTGGTAGAACACGATCTTGACGTGTTTTTAGTCCAAGAGACTCATCTAAACTCAGGGAATACTCCCAAAATTGGGAATTATGACATTTACTCGACGGACAGGGTGTCACAAGGCAGAAATCCGAGTGGTGGCACTTGTATTTATGTGAAACATTCGATCAAACATCACATAATACCGTCCCCTGATTTAAATATTTTGGAAGCGACTATTATCCAAATTTTCCTTCAAAATTCTCCCCCACTCACAATTGTTTCAGCTTACTTACCTCCACAATCAACTGCACGTGGAAGGCCTTCTTTCCCTGTCAGTGATTTTGACAAACTTTTGAATATTTCAAATCACCTGATCATTGCTGGCGATCTAAATTCACGTCATACCGCATGGTTTTGTGTCCTAACAGGAACAGGTATGGCATTAGTCTAAATTCATGGTGCCAGAGTAACCATGTACAGATCATAGCTCCTACCCTCCCGACTTACTACCCTGTAAGAGGGTCCCCTGCAGTACTCGATCTGGCTGCTTTCTATAATATTTTCTTTAGGCATGAAATTGAAGTGATACAAGATTTAGACTCTGATCACTATCCTATTTTGATAACCTTAGATGTTCAAAATCGTTACTCAAAATTACAGGAGCGAGTCTCAACAAATTGGGACGATTTTCGATTTATTTTGGAAAACACAGCACTCCCTCCCATACAAATTTCCAGCAATGCGGACTTTGACAGGCAGATTAAAAATCTGGAGTCTTTACTTAAAGAAGCGAGAGCTGCGGCTTCAAAACCTATTCAGCACCCTGGTGCTAGACTCCCACCTGAGACTAAATTCAAAATTAAGCAGCGGAACTACTTGCGAAGAATCTGGCAAAGGTCGCGCGATCCCAGTATCCGCGTCCAATTTCGCAAGATACAAAACGAGATAAGGACTGAAACCCGCTTATTAAAACAAGCGGAGTGGAAAAATTATATTGAGTCCCTAACGACTGAAAACAAATCGATTTGGCGTGCAGCCGCCCGATTACGCAAACATTACAAGCTCATTCCGCCCCTTGAAACGGCCGATGGCGCACAGATGGCCTACACAGACTCAGAAAAGGCCGAAGCTATTGCTGACAGCCTTGCTACTCAATTCACACCAAACAACGACTCCTACTGTAACCGCCCGGTTACACAGGGGCGCATCCATTCACGGGTTGAAGACTTTCTATCACAACCTTTCACGCCTGACCTCAGGCCAACTGATCCAACTGAAGTCATGGTTTACATTGATAAAATTAAACCTGACAAGGCCCCTGGCATAGATTCAATTTCGAATCGCATGATCAAAAACTTCCCCGTAATGTTTATTGTCTGGATTACGGTCCTTATTAATTTAATGCTCAGGAGAAGCTATTTTCCCGACTGTTGGAAAACTGCAGCAGTCGTGCCCATTCCAAAACCGGGACAAAATTTAAACTTACCCGTCAATTACAGACCAATTAGTCTGCTCTCGTTTCTCTCAAAAATCTACGAGTATGTCTTGCTTAATCGCCTGAATGAATTCTGTCGAGATCAAAATTTGATCATCCTGGAACAATTCGGCTTCCGACCTAAACACTGAACTGTACACCAGTTATTACGTGTAGTGGAATTCATTCATCAATGCTTTCGCAAGCGAGAGAAAATTGGTATCATCTATCTTGACTTAGCCAAAGCTTTTGATAGGGTTTGGCATGACGGACTTATCTACAAGCTCATGCGGCTTGGTTTCTCGGCTCATTTCATTAAAATTATTAACTCGTACTTGACCGGACGAAGTTTCCGTGTGCGAGTTAACCACGAATTCTCCACTCCCCGCCCAATCTATGCCGGCTGTCCACAGGGCAGTCTCGTCGGGCCTTCAGTTTTCAACCTCTACGTAAATGACATTCCTAAGGCCCCTAGTATCGATCTTGCTTTATATGCGGACGATACAGCCATCATCGCACAACATTCCAACACCTTCACGGTAATCTCTACACTACAGAGTTACCTTTCAGCCTTAGAACTCTGGCTCGGTTTGTATAAAATCAAAATCAATGTCGCAAAATGTGCTGCTACTCTGTTCATCCGAAGAAATATCCCCCGTTTAGATAACTTAATTCTCTTCGGTGAACCTATTCCCTGGGTTTCTTCATATAAATATCTTGGTGTATTACTTGATTCAAAATTAACTTGGCAACCTCACATTCAAAAAATCATTGCGAATGCGACGGCTGTCAAATCCAATCTGCGCCCCTTCTTCGCTTTAAATAGCGACCTGTCAATTGACAACAAGATTTTGCTCTACAAGTCTATCATAAGGCCTGTTCTGACTTATGCATGCCCCATTTGGGGCCCATCAGCACTGACTAACAGAAAACATGTCCAAACTTTTCAATCTAAATTGCTTCGGCAAATACTCAAAGCTCCGTGGTATA